CGATTTTTTAAATTTTCCAAACCCAGCGCATGATGCACTTCCGCCACGGTCATACAACCCTCCATATCTTGTTTGTTGGCGAGCACAACAAGTATGGCGCCGGCAAGTTCCTCTTCCTATAAGTAAAACCAAAAAAAAAAAAAACAATATTCTTTTAGAACTTCATATATATAGTATTTAAAAAATACGCACTCGCAACATGTACAGCAGCTCATCTTTAGATATGCCTATCCGATCTCGATCTGCAGAATCCACCACATAAATTATAGCATCTGTGTTACTATAGTAACAACGCCAATACGGTCTAAATGCCAAAGAACGTTAAATAAAGAGTTTTTCTTTTATAAGTTATTTAATTTACAAACCTTATACTTGTCTGACCACCCAAATCCCATACCTGGAATTTTAAATTCTTGTACGTAACCTGTTCGACATTGAAGCCAATAGTCGGAATTGTTGTGACCACTTCACCGACTTGCAGACGATAAAGAATAGTCGTTTTGCCAGCGCCATCCAACCCTAATATCAGTATGCGCATTTCGCGTGAACCAAGCAGACCGCGAAAGTAACTTAATACACCACCTAAGAATAATACAAACTATTTAACTACTAAAAGGTAATTTTTTTTTTGTTATTTTTTTGTGCAGAGTTTACTCACAACACCGGCAGACAATTGGCATAAAGGTTCTATTCCCAAATTAGCCAATCTGTCACTGCTGCCACACATAGAACTTACCCATTTTATTATCACTACAATACGTTGGTGGCTGGTATTAATATACTTATTATTTATATTGTTGGTATATAGCTTGATTTAGTTGTTTTCCCTATAAAAGTTAATGCACGCACATTTGGATTAATTATAATAAATACATATGTGAAAATAATCCGTATTTTCACTTTTTTTATAGGCAGACGATGTGAACGGTTTGATTTATGTCAAAAATTGTTTGTCATGCGTAGCGGTTATGACGTGTCTGTGTAAAGAGAACACAGTGTTGCATTACAAGTGAAACGGTTAAAATAAAATGCGTATACCTTTGGGTTGTTTTCTAATTTTATTTGTTTAATAATAAAAATTTATATTTACAAAGAATAATTATGTAAATAAAGACATTGCTCAATATCAGCTAAGAGTAAATGGCAGCAAACTATGTATTAATACCTATTTCGTTAATATCAACGGAATAATTTAGCTAAATATCATTTACGCCAAAAATTTAAATTTAATTTAAATAAAAATAAAATATAATCTTTTTAAATTAATTTATTTATTTCTTTCTCTTTCGTATTTAATATTTATTTCAATATTTCTTATGAACTACAATTTAAATTTTATTGATTGCTAAATATTATTTAAATGATTACACAAACTATTGTATGCTTTAATATTGATTTCATTATAATTCTCTCTTTGAGGCTATAACACACAGATGCAAGTTTGTATGCATATGTATGTATGAATCTTTTGAAATTAATTTTTTTTGCGTTCATGTTGCTGTTGTTGGGTTTTAATGCGATTGCTAAATAAAAAATTAATATTATTACATATACATACAGTAAAGAGCCTTTTTAATAGCATTGCATACATATTCCCTTTTGTGTTTAACGTCTTATTAAATATACATTAGCATTGTTTGTTTTTTATTGTTTACAACTTATGTAAAGCAAAAGTTTACTATATAGTATATTTTTTTAATACTTCATTTTATATTTGAATTTATAAATATACATTTATATATGTATAAAGCACACACAGATATATAGCTATGAATATTGTAGAGTTTTAAAAATAAATTTCAAAAAACAAAGACAATGATTTCTCTTAGTTTACTTAAGCTTTTTTTTCATTTTTTTTTTTTTATTTTATTGCGTTAGAAAATGTACTGGAGTTAATACACCTATTAAAAATGTGTCTTAGTAAAACGATGTGCTAGAAAATATCAGTCGGAAATGTTCAAAACACTGTTATTCAATTCCCTTATTAGATATTAAGTTAACGAACGTTTGTAGAAATTGTATCTTTTATATTACTTATTCATTTTATTTTCTCATTTTCTTCAAATGCTTTGAAGTTTATTATTTGTTATTGTTTCATATCAATAAATCAAAAGAAAAAAAAAAAAACGCTTGTAAAAATAACTGCTATTAAAACATAAACTTTTTAAATTAAATAAATTGCAGAAATAAATTAAATATAATTAAATTTATGTGAGACTTTCCACGAAATATATATGTACATATCCACGTGATTGCTATTTGCATTGAAATAATAATAAGCTAATTAATAATTTCCCTTCACTTTTCACAAGTTTTAAAAATTAAAATGTCATTTCATACAATTTTATTAATTATACATACTCGTACGCAGCTTTATTCAGTGTATATTTCAATTTATTATAGAGCTGTTAAAAATATTTTATTTATATGTAAGTTAAATGGTAATGTGAACGTATTTTTAGCATGTTTGGCTGACTAGAATGTTTGGTGCAAATTGTTAGCTTTTTAGTTAAAATTTTTTATATATGAGATATCACTTTTGCTTTCCTTGGTCAAAAGTCAGTATTCAAAGCAACTTTTTAGAATTTTTTATATTTTTTATTAATTATTTTTATTTGATGGTATAAGATAGAATGGTTTGAAATGTACAGTTCTTATACGCGCAATGCTTGCATAGTTTTGTTGACATATACATATATTCTGCAATTATATTATTTTTTGTTGAATTTATTATTATTGTTATCTTAACGCTCAAATGTATATGTAGTTATCGATGACTGATCTTTGATGATATAAGTTTAGGTTAACTAGCTTGTTGTTTTGTTTATGTAGCTACTTTTATTTTACATTAACAAATTAAAAAAAAGACATAAATTTTTATTTTTAATATTATTTTTCGTTTATATAACAAAAATATTTGGTGTTTTGTTCTCGTTTGTTTATTATATATAGCTTAACTTTCAATCGTAAATTTGTGAACAATTTAATCTTTGACGCTTTCCAATAAGCAAAATAAATAATTTGCGGCTAACAATATACGCAAAATTATCAATATCGTTACTTATTTCATCTTCATCTTCAGATTTAGTTTTATTTGTTAATAATAGTCTTAAAACACTAAACAAATTTTCTCAATATTGTTTTGCTCACTGGCTTTGTATTTATGTTCGTAACTGTATCTGCTTATTTACATTTGTTCTGGTGGGAGCAACTATCGAATATTTTGGCGCAGAAAAAACTAAGAGGAGCAAGTGTTAAATGCTGCATAAAATGTTCTAAAAGTTGTGCATTTTTTAGAATTTTGTATGGCCATTTGTGATACTTTACAACTACCTCAAGCTTCTTTTATGATTTTTGCATGCTTAATTTTTAGATCTGATTTTTGTGTGTGTTTTGGTGGGACATATGTATATGTATATATGTAGGCGCATAGTTACGGTTTAAGTAAGTCGGTTTTCAACTTGATGATTTTTTCGGTATAAAACTACGTTTCCTCATTCAACTACACCTTGTATTTCAAGTTTGTTGTATTACTTAGAAGTAACAAAATAAATGTGCGTATTAAAATTTTCTTTGTTGTAATACTTCATAACTGCGCTTTATATTCTATAATTAAGTATAAATGCCAAGTATAGATTTTGTAAAAAGCAAATGTCACGTGCATTGAACGTTTGTTTTATGACACAAAATCAATTACGTTAAATAAAATAAATATACATACATATATACTTGCTAGCCAAATTTCGTTTTGCGAAAGAGTAGTTGGCTAACATTAAACATTAAGGCCTCTAAAAATATTTTCTAAAAAGAAAAATTTGATTTATTTGTATAAGTTAAACAATATGTAAAATGGTTTTTACTTCTTTCTTAAATATATTAATTTATGTCTCTTAAGTAGGTCAAATTGTTCTTAAGTTTTACATTATTTTAAACTGTTTTTCGGGATTTTTAGAATAAATATTATATCGTGTTTGTTTTGTTTAGCTATATTTCATTAATTCATGCACAAAGATATTAGTATTATGTAATTTTGTCTTTTCTTGTCGAATGAGAGCAGTGTTTTTGTTGGAATTGAGTTATCAGATAAAGAGAAATTTATTAAAAAAAAAAAAATATGTATTATTATAAAAATAATAATAATATAATTAAAAAAAGTAATAATATAATTTTAAAAAAATTAAATAAATATAATAAATATAATATTAAATAAAATAAAAAAACTTATAAAATGAAATTACAAATTTATTACTTCGAAGTGAATAGTTTAGTAAAAAAAAGTTTTTAATTTTATTTTGAAATTATTTAAGGTATTAAGTAATCGAAAAAATTATTCAAATTGAAAATGTATATCATCAAAACCGAACCGAAATAGAAAGATGGAAAAAAATTTAATTAAAATGTTTAACAAAAATAAAAAAACATATTCTTTTAACAAATGACAATTTCACAATGTTTAAATTAAATTTTATATTTTAAAACATGTTTCTTTATATATTTTGAAATATATAATTTAACTTTATAAACAATGCCTTTTCGGCTAAGTCGAAAATATAAATTTCAAGCTAGAAATAACTTTACAACTTTCCAACGCCAAATACCACTTTGCTTATCTTTATAGCTTGTTTTACATCAAGAATTTTAAGTAAGCAATACATTTTTCTTATAACAAATTGTTCTCCATATATCTAATGTCATTTCGTTAGCATTTTATTTATGATGCACAATATTTTTCATACTATTTTGAATCGGTTTACGTTGACCACACACATACGGCTGCCCAAACTGCAAATGCACTACAATGTCCTACACATATAATCCTTTGTTCATGCTAATAATTGCTAGTAAGTATTTATTAAAAATGATTTAACTAAGTTTGTACAGCGAGTGATTAGTCTGAAATAATAAAAAATTCCTAACCTAAACTGGCAAAGCTTTCTATATTGCTCATAAACTGCTATCTAAAACTTTTAAGAAGTATCGAACTACAAATAAAAAATTAGTTAGTATTAATAATTACATTTGTATTAAGTATATAATTGAATAGGCGCATCAACGAAATAAAACTTACTTATGCTTTGTTTACGCATCTTCCACCCAAGCATAATAAATATTATAAACTATAATAATTAGGTTTATATATAATACAATAAAAGTTTAATACGCTTAGCAAATGTCCCCTATGGCTTGACTATTCACATTACATACAATGTTGTTGTAGCAGTGACAGTTGACAAATTTTTATATAAATAAGAACTTGTAAAATTGTATAAAAAATAACGCAAAATTAATTCAATAAATTTATAAATATATTTAAAGAAAATTTGCAAGACGCCCAGTTTTCGCAAGCACTACTACAACAACGGAGCATTGTTAACACAAACCATTTCACTTCTAAACCACCTCTACACATCCTGTTAATTAAAGCACTTGAAAAAATGCCATTGTTTCTTTACCTTTACGATCGTGACATGCCTGCGTATTTGCTTAAACATTTGCTATGGGTGCATTGCGCGTCTCCGCATCCCGATTCGACTTATCCTACACGTACTGATAGTGCGCCAACTCAGTGCCACCACCTTCGCCATCGGCATTGCCACGCAATAGCGGTTCTTGTTCCACCGTTGCACGGCCCACCTGCATATCCATATCGTAGTAATTCATCCAATCGACATGACGCGGTTGAACTAAGCCAAAACATTTGCACTCCAAAAAATCGACCAAGTTGTTGAATGGTCCACGTGTGAAAGGACTATGACCGCCTTTCGCCTGAAAATGCCGGTATCGTCCACGATTCATGCGCTCATTAGTAGTCATACCCAAGCAGACGACTTGATATGTCTGGCAAATTGTTAGCAACACAACCCAGGAAAGATGTAGCAATGCATTCGCCATCACCCAACCGACCCAGGCATTACAATTGGCTATGTCCATAATTGCTTTTTGGAAATCCGCCAGCGGCACGAGCGTAAAGTATACATTACATTGATAGATATAATAACAGGCGCCACCATATAACATCCAACCGCACATGATGAGTAACATCCAGAGGAAACCCATAAAGTAAGCGTGGTTCTTGAGACCAATACAATTGCCCACCCAGGGGCAGTGATGGTCGAAACGCGCAACGCAACGATCGCAAACGCTGCAATGCTTTGAACGTATCGGACGCCGTACCAGACAGCCGGAGCAGAAAGAAGAGGGTTCAAACCCAATACCACCGCGTTCTGACAATTCGACAATCGTCTGTAATATAAAATTATTATTTTGTGAATTATTCAAATAATAAGTTAAATGCAACGGAAGAACTAAAATATAGTTTATAAGCATATGCGCAGAAATAGTTCACACAAAACTATCTTAGCACGCAATCTATCAAAGGAGTTCTTACTTTGAAACGTTGCTCCTGCGTCGGCCGTATAATACCTGGATCGCCTTTCCATGACTTCATAAAACATACCCAAAGCGCTGCGGAGCAAGCTAAAAACATTAAGGTTTCCGCAAACGAAACCGCATCCACAATATATACAATCCACGTGACATAGAACCACGCTTTCGTCGCCAGATACACACTTAACGGTAATAATGCCAGTAAATGCTCATCGAATAATGCCTTACCAAGCGTATGGAAGATGCCATACAAGCATCCAAGAAGGAAGAATTTAATTATATACAGTGTATTTAGTGTAAATACGACGCCAGCTAAATAAAACGCCGTGAATGGACAAGCAACCATTGCCCACCAACGTAGACGTTTATCATGACGTAGGCGTGATATTAATGACCGTTGTGTTTGGGTTTTTTGTGAAGCCTCACGTACGCGATCTAATACTTTGGAACCAATCCATATTGCGCCTGCCTGCGATTCTAGCATTGTTAACGGCGTTTCGCCACGCAAATTAGGAACGTCGAGGGAGGCGCGTGATTTTAGAACCAATGTAGAAATCGCAGTAGCGTTGCGTGCCAGTATGGCCCAATGTAACGCAGTGTTGCCGTGCGTGTAATCGACCATAGCTGGATTTGCGCCAAGCGTGAGCAATAAACGTACGGGATCCAGTGCACAGACCTAACAATAATTTCTTGAATATTTTAATGACCACATATAATGTTAAAATTTACCTTCCAAGCGGCCCACATGAGCGCAGTCATTCCGCCACGATCTTGCAAATCTGGATCAACACCTTTTGCTATGAAATACGCAACCAGAGCTGTGTGCGCAAACTGTGCTGCAATGTGTATGCAAGAACAGCCCTCGGCATCACGTATGCGTGGATCAGCACCAGCATTCATCAGCAGCACAACGGAACCGAGATGCCCTTGCCTTGTTGCCCAATGTAAGGGTGTCGCATTCAATTCACCACCTACAGCATCTACAATCGCGCCTTTCTCCAGGAAATAACGTATTATATCACGCCTATTATTAATGGCTGCCCAATGTAGCAAAGTTACAGTCTCACTATCGGGTTGATTAACATCCCAACCAGATTCAATAAGCTCACGTACACGTGCAATAGCGCCGTACTGTGTCGCTTTGACTATATCGAATCCGCTGTAATCTGGTTCCACCGGTGCGGTGGGGGGCTGCTGTGCCATAAGTGCAGCTTGACGTTCAGCATCGCAATCATTTTCCGTACCAGGCACACATGAGCCAGTCGTAGCGACATTGCAAGCGGTCTGATACATGGTACTGGGATATTGATGTAACCGTGATAGGAATAGACTTGCTTCAACTATAATAAGTAAATAGTTCCTTATTATTATTATTTTTTTCAAAACCAATATTTCCAAGACAATTCAGCGATGTATAAATATACTTTGTCGCTTACCTATTCAATTGCAATTTTTTTCTTAACACTAACCAGTGGGGTCCTTAAAAATGAATCAGCCTGCAGCCGTTGCTGCTATCATAAAACGCACTTATGCGTTGGTATGAGTGTTGGAGCACTCAATCCAGCATTAAGGGCAATTTTAAGCAGCTTATACGAAAATACTTGGTAAATATACACAGCGTTCTATGAATGCGCCATTTAACTACGCAATTTGACTTTTTCGACAGAAAAATACTTTTTTTACACTGCTAGTTGAAAGAAAAAGCCAAATTTTATCACGCAACTCGGAAAAAGTAGATTACACTCAAAAATTTGACCACTTTTGACATTTCAAGTGACAATTCGCTGTTGTTGTCAGTGGGGGTGACATTTTTCCTAAAAATATGTGTTTGTGTGTATATTGTCATGTGCAATGGTACGAAAGTGGCGACAAAAGAAACGAACCAATTAGCGATGATGCCATCGCAAACGAATAGAATGTTATACCCTTTAAATACAGCAAATTATGTATTAAAGCAGTGGAATTCAAATATGACGTCAGGACTTCTGCTGCAAACTGCTGTTGCTATCGAGCGGCAGTAAACATTACTGAAATAATTTGAAGAATTTTAAATTGAAGATACGGAGTTGGTTATTTGAAGTTATTCAAAAACTATTAGGAAAACCTACCATTCCTTAATAATATATGAAATAAAACGAATATTTCCCCTCGTCATATTTTCTTTTTCATACTTCTTCATGTTTTATTCATTTTATTTGACCGTATAATAAAGTTAAATAGTTTTACACTTAATTATGCAATGATGATAAAATTAAAAAATATACATTATAGTTTTTTCTTATGTTTTAAGAAATACATACATACATACATATATATGTATGAGTATGAGTTGCTTTGCCTGTTACAACACTGCAAATGAACAGTGGGCGCTAAAATAATCATACAGCGTGAAACAAAAATGACCGATTATTATTTGTAATTTATTGGACTGCAAATGTATTTGAAATAGTTTATAAAATTATAATTTCTTACTATCACACATTTTGTTGCTATATAAAGGTTTTTAATTAAACGCTGCCACTATTCTCTTACAGTATTGCACTCATATTTTGTTTCTGTCACTTTTCATATAAAATGTGTGACTGTCAATATTTTTCTTTATTAAGGTTTATTTTATTTTTTGCATATCATTAATGATCAATGATGTTGCTTAGTTTTTTAAGCCTATGATATATATTTATTTATTAGTATTATGCCTTGTGATATATAATGTATAATATAAAAAATAACGTTTACAACGTTTATACGCTTTTTTTTATTAGTTTCTACATTTTACAAAAATGTGTTTTTTTCACTTATAATTATGCAAGTTTACTTTTTAATAATTTTTGCTTTAGGGCTTCTTTTCTAGTTTTTGTATATATGTATTTCTTTCTACTGTCTTGGGCTGGATAAGTGTTTTTATTGATTTGTTGTGTTTTTGTTTTTGTTTTTCTTTTACATTTAGACTTTTGAGTTTTACTTTTATGTTAAATTCCTTAATTTGTCGCCATGCTAACCGATCAAAAATGTTGGCGCAGGAAATGTGTGCATGCAAAGAATTTGTTAGTGTAAAATTAACTGTTTGCAAGTGCGTTAAATTGTGTACTTTTTGTAAAATAAATGTAAATAGCAATGCAAAAAGTATAGTATTATATTTCAGTTACAAATATGCATTTTTTAGTTTTTTGAAATACATTTAATATACTATTCAAGTGTAAAAATCATTGGTATGTTTATTGTACAAGGATATAGGGAGATGGAGGTAGTGAGCGCAGCTAAGAGCTTTGATGAATATATGTTTGTATTTAGTATTAAATATTATATTTTACGAGTTTAGGTGGGCCGATGCGTATTTGCTTGCGCTTAATTTATTCAGCATTTGCAGTTTCTTACTATAATGTATATATACTGTGTTGACTATGTCACTTCTTTCAGAGCAGTGTTGTGATGTTACGCAATATTCTTTTATTTGATAGTGGCATTATTTCTATTTTACAGTTTGATAAACTATTTGCAAATTTGTATGTGTGTGTGTTTTAATCTATTTCTAACATTTATAAAGCTCAAAAATCTTAGCAGTTACAGATATATGTACTTATAATTATTTTCTTACAATGCTGGTTGAGTTTTCCCCGAAGCTGACAAGCTGCGCTCAATTGCATTAAATAATATTATTAATAAACAATTTTATTAAATTTTCATAATTTTAAACTGCCAACACACTCTTGTTAATCGACATTGATCGATAGTTCGCTGAATGCTGTCATAGATAAATAACGGAAGCGGAAACACATCAGTAGGAGAATTAATTACAGGAATAATTACCGAGTATTTTCATAGTTTCACTAGGATATGGTTTAAAAAGCCGACTAAAATGGAAGCTAATAAGAAGCAATATTATAGTGCAATGTATGCAGCAAATTATTAATAAGATTATAAGGTTTATAGGTTTGTGTTGTTGATATGTGATGGAAAGTGTGTAAGTCGCTTGCGCAAGTCTTACTTAAGATACAAAAGAAATATCAGCTTATTAGTGCGTTGAATGTCGCAAAGTGTTATCTACGTCCTGGGAGTGACGAAAATATGCTGACTGTAAAACATAAAAATGTTAAAACAATAATTAAAATAAGATATGAATTTAAGCGTTTACCTGTGATTGTAGTGCCAACACAAATTATTCTTATACATTTTAAGATCCGTCTGTATATATTATATAGCATTATAACAGCATATCTTGCATATGTATAACCTCCCTAATTAATCGTTGAGTATAAATCTTGCGTTTTTCTGTCATATTGATATTTTAACTATTCAAAAAATAAAATATGAAAAACAGTACAAATCGAAAAGAATCTACAAAGTGAATTTAAATGTTCAAAGCATAATTAAAAATTATTTGTGTGCAACTTGTTATTTAATTTATTTTAATTCATTGATTACAAAATAAGAAACCAAGGGTGTTTTTTGTTTATTTAAGTTAATTTTTTATTGCATAAATTAAAAACAATTACTTTTTTTCGCTGGTTTGTTGTAAAATACAATATAAATTATTTAAAATTAAATTAAATTGGTTTACGTAAAAATTATTGTTACAATTTTTTTTGTAGTGTGTAGAGTTAAGAGTTTGCAGGGAAATGGTGTCAAAATAAACTTAAAATTAATTATGTAAAAATCGGTTCTTTAACGTACTTTATATATAGTATAAGTATATATATTATAAAATTAAAACAAACAAAACTTGTGAAAGAAAAAGAAAAGTTAAAATTAAACAATAACAACAGTTAAAATACACTTTTCTTTACTTTCAACTATTAGCTAATACAAGTATAGAATATAAATGTGAGTAAGGATAAACTGATTGTTTGTACGGTGTGTAAGACACGGTGAGCGCGAAAATAGCGAAAAAAAAAAAAATTATGTAAAAAGCTGTGTTGCATACAAACATGAGGCATTGCTATGTATGCAAGTCCATTACTATTTGCTTGTTGTTGGTCTATGTTTGTATGTGCGGCAGGAGAGCACTACTATGTTATGTAGTTAAAGTGTACCCTTATTTAACATTATTGTTTTTTTTTTGTTCGCTCTTGTTTTTAGTGTTGTTTTATTTTTGCATAGTTTCGTAGATTTTCGCATATTCTCTGTGTTTTTTTAATTACGCAAATGTCGGTGTGTGCTAGTTACATTTTAATAAAAAATATAGATGCGCTCGAATTTACAGGCATTGACGCATAAACACATATGTATGGGTGCATATTTTTTGTTTTTGTTCGTGTGTATACATATGCTTAACACTTCGTTTGCCAATCATTGCTCATACAATGTCGCTGATTATCTTTTTAGCTTTTTATTATATTTTAATTTTTTTCTTTGCATTCGTCTTTCGTTTCGACTTTTTCGCTTACACGCACACGTTTGCACTTTTCAAAGAGTTCGTTTCACACATTTCACACCTACAGATTATCATTACATTACACGCCGCTCGTTCTACTTTGCCCTAATATCTATTACTTTTACTTTTTGCTGCTTCTGATATTACTTTTGTTTGGTGGTTGTGGGTTTCATTTGTATGCATTTGCCTGACTTATTAACTGTATGTATGTATGTAGTTATGTTGTATGTAATGCTTTACAGCTGCACTTAATAATAATTATAAACTTGTTCAGCATCTTCTGTTAATTTGTTGTATATAAGTATGTTGTATATACTACTTTTATGTGTGTGTATTGCAATTCTTTGCTACATCCTTAGCCTAGATGTGTGTGTGTATTATTTATAAATACATATATATTACAGCATATTTATATCTTCGATTTGTTTCAACACTTTTGCAAGTGCATATATGTATGTATGTATATAAGTAGTATTAATTCAATATCGGTTTTTTTTTGGTTTTTTTTCTTTTTTCTTAATAAAAAAAATTGCAGCAATTGTTATAGGAAAGTATTTCGCGGGGGGATAGGTAGCGCGTTAATTTGTTTGTTTGTGTATTGTATAATTTCTTGTTTACATATAAATATATATGTATGTATATATCTATATAATATTAATATTATATGTTTATTCTATACATATTTGTTGTATATATGTATGTATGTGTGTACGCTAATTTATTCAAAAGCAAAAAACGCAAATTATATATTAATAAACATCAATTCCCACTGATGTTACGTTTTATTACTTAAATCGGGCGGATTTGGCGGACTACCATCCAGCTGCTGCTGATGCTGCTGCTGCTGATTTGTTTGCAGTTGATGCTGTTGTTGTTGCTGATGTGGATGCTGTGTCGTCAGCAATGTTGGTACTGATATTGTTGTCGCTTGCGTAATTACCGTTGTTGCTGTAATCGTTTGTTGCACTCCTCCCTGCTGCTGATTCTGTGGATGGGTCGTTTGTATTTGCAATTGTTGTTGTTGTTGTACAGTTTGATGCAACTGCGACTGCGGCATGGACATTTGCTGTTGATTCGTGATGTTTCTATTTCGAGGGAAAGATAAGCGCCAAATTAGTGTCTATATATATTATTTTAAATAGTTATTTTCAGAGCAATTTCATATTTTATTTTCTATTCTATTACTTATACTGTTTGTTGCATTTCAGTGGCAAACCAAAACATTCAACCCCTTAGCTACCGAATATTTGGAAACCTTTACCTATAGTCGACTTTTTACTGAAAATATTGGTCAATCAGTCAGATTTATAATTGAAATTCAGAAACAAATAATATTAAGATTTTCGAACTTACACCCCATATAACTAGTAGGCCTTATGTGCACAAATGTACTTTCCTGGGTTTAACCCTTGCAAGTTGCAATAGTATGAAATGTTCGGCTATACATGAACTCAGCTTAACTAAATTCTGAGTTTGAGATTAAAACCTAAATTTTAAATTTTTGGACGATTTATTACTTAATAAATAGTGAATTAATGTTTGAAAACCGAATGCTCAATCTAACTGTACTATATGCTCGATAGAATATTATATAGTTCTGAGAATTGAAAATAGAACTAGACTAACTCCGGATCACTCAAAAATTATTGATAGCCAATAAATAGCATCTTGAGCGATCTTCTGCCCTATTGATGAATTCGAACGCTCACTTATCATATTTTTATTTTGATAAAAAAATAAAAATTGGAATAGTCCTTCGATTATTACCACAAAACGCTATACAAAAGCATTATTGTTCTATTTAAAATAAGAACGTCCTAAGAAAATAATTTAAAATATAAAAAATAATCCTATTTTCACTTACATTTTCGCAACATTATTCAGCGGATTATTGGAATTGCAGAGAACGCTATATACAGAATCAACTCTGCTGAGTTTTTCAAACAACGGTATGAGTTCAAGCAACTCCGAATCGTTCGTGTCATCAAACCATGACTTTACAGGAACCTGCAATGGTAATGAAATATTATTGATAAAATTAAACAGATAAAACAAATATTTGTATGTGTATTCAAAATGCAAAATTTAATTTTTGTATACAAAAACTAAATGTTAATTGTGTAACAGCTTTCTGCCATTTTCTTCAAATATTATATGTTACAAATATTGCCCACTTACCGCATTATCTGGATGAAATATATAACTCGCTGGTGAATTATCAACAATGACAATTTTTTGTAAATCACGCCCAAGACGATTTAAGTCCTTAATATAATTTCCCCTGTAATAAACGCACGATTCCCTAAACAGTCTTGCGCGAAACACATCCCATCTAAGGATAAAAAGGCAATTAATTATTTAATTCAATTGCATGAGGGTAGAAAAAGTCTATTAAATCACACATACTTGTCTAACAGATCGGCAACGGGATCCGCGTATTTGGCTAGTGATGCTGTAAATAAAACACACTCGTACAATTCGCCCATTTTTCGCAGGAACTCATCGACATAGGGCCGTTTGAGTACATAAACTTGATGTATGGTGCCATCAATTTCCACTGGTACAATAAAATCAGCATTTGGAATCGGCTGTAATTGAAAATGTGCAAATAAATAGTGAAAATTAATTATGAAAATAACAAATAAGCTAATTTGTAGGTCATAAAATATAATTTTATACTATACAAGTATGCATGTATTTACGCTTACCTTAAAACTACTGTGCACTAATGTCTCATCCAAATCGATGACCATGCATTTTTTGTGCATATCCGAGTGCCTAACCTGAGGTAGTAGGTACCTTTGTTGGTCCGGTAATGGTGGCGGTGTTGTGGAACCATCGATTGATGTGCCATTTTGATTGGTTTTCGTACGATTACGTCGCCAGCAGCATAGAAACGATTGAAAGAAGCCGCGTTTTGGTGGTTTCAAGCGTTCGACATCATCTGAAATATTTAAGAAGACGCGGATATTAGTTAGGGATTCTCAAAAATTCTATCTTGTATTTAATGTATGTAATATACCAAAAGAAATTTATTTTTGTAATTTATATATACATATATGTATATAATGATGACCCCAAGTTCTGAATGATATTCATTGAATTTTTTTAAATCATAACGTTATCAAATGGCCTACTATTTGGATTAAAATGAATAATTTTTCTAAAAAAATTGATTGAACCGATCTCAAATCTAAATAATATTGATATTTAAAAAATTTTTTTTTTCAGAATAAAATAACCTCACTTATTTTATTATATTTCTAATTGAAAAAATCTGAAAGCGACCTCATATTTGCTCAAGTTTCAAAATCGTATCATATAGTCAAAACTTTTAGAGGAATATAACCTCAATTTCGTTCAAAAATATTATACTTTTTGGAAATTTTCATAAATTTAGAGTTAAAAGCTCATAAAACTGCAATTCAAATTTTCTTCTTTGTTTTAACAATTAAAGATTGAAAAAATTAAAAAAAAAACATTGAATACTAGGTGTGTTCAAAAAGTAACGCGAATTTTGAATTTTCGCGGGTTACGTATATTCGAATTTCGAATTTTTTTGTGGCGTTATGTTGGTACTCATGTCTCTCACATTGACAGCTGCTTTGCTTGAACGTGTTTTGGATCGTCTTCGATTTTCATCTATTCAAAAAAATGGATCAAAGAACCTGTATCAAATTTTGTGTGAAAAACGCAGTTAAGTGCGCGTATGCATTCCGAATGTTGACTGTGGCATACGGAGAAGCTACCTTGGACCGAAGCAACGTTTATCGGTGGTACAAAATCAGAAGGCCGAGAAGATGCGACAAAAATTGGCTTTTGCACCAAGATAACGCCCCTGCTCACACATCGTTGCTTCTGCGCGACTTTTTGGCTAAAAACAACACACTAATGATGCCGCAGCCACCGTATTCCCCAGATCTAGCCCCCTGTGACTTTTTCTTGTTCCCTAAACTGAAGAGGAACATGAAAGGACGACGTTACGTTTGTTTTGACGAGATAAAGACGGCATCGAAGGAGAAGCTGAAGAAGATAAAAAAATAATTATTTTTTGAAGTGCTTCGAAGATTGGAAAAACCGTTGGCACAAGTGTATAATATCTCATGGGGATTACTTTGAAGGGGACAAAATAGATATTCATGAATAAATAAATAATTTTTGAAAAAACACAAAATTCGCGATACTTTTTGAACACACCTCGTATTTTAGATTATTATTTTCAGTAATAAAATCTGCAAATAATATAATTAAATTTTGTGTAATGAAATATTATTGAATTTATTTCTCCCAAGCTAAGATAGTGACAGCTAGGTACCAGCTTCCTTTGAAATTTTTAAAATCACAAGAAATTAAAAAAATAAACTTCAAAACATGTCAAAAACATAATTTGAAATATCCCCAAAATTGTTTAGCACACTGACCTTTCGTTACAACGACGACCTAAATATAATCTACACTCTTAAACTAAAACAATAATAATACTCTCAAACAATAACTTCATAAACTTAACAAGCGTCCACTTTATCATAGTTTTTAGCACGAATCATATTCTGCAGCATTGGCACCACTTGAGCTTGACTTTCGCGTAAAATTCTCTGCATAACTTTACATCTTTTTTGCTGTTTTTGATTCGCTTTTTATGCTAGTTGCAAAAATTTGCACTTCCTGTCCGCGTCTCGCTTCGCCGCTGCGAAAAGCAAACTGAGCGAACAGTCTTAATTGCTTTAATTGTCAATGACCTGTCGGCGGACGGTGAGGGCACAAGTCGCCGCACCCATTCTTCAATGTAAACTTTCGCTTTCGCTGAATTTGCGTTATTATGTAGTTAAAAGAGCAAAAAAAATAACAGTTTGTTGTATGCTAAAATGTTTTGTCTTTAGGTATATATGTATGTGTGTAAGAATATATTCACAAGTTGGTCGATGCGTACGGGTGGCAAGCAATGACATGCTGAGGTGAGTAATTTCGTCTTGTTGAAAATATGTTGGTGGAATAGTGCAACTAGTACATTACGTAAAAAATGAAATAAGCATTAGAAATAAACAAAAATACTAGTATCTAGAAAATTTGTTACAGAATTGATAATAAATTAATTAAAATATTTAGGAAAAAATTAAAAAAAAAATGCATATATTCTAATATATATTATATTTTTATGGAGTTACCATGTACATAATTTTATTAGTATTAATTTATTAATTTTATAGAGCAATATTTTTTGAAAATAATTATTGTACATAGAATATAATAAAAATAATAAAAAATAATTTTCACAGCTTTGCAAGATATTAGGTCTACAACTTTGCTTCCGAGGTTTTTTTTTTTTTGTAAATTTAAGGCTTTATTGTATAAAAACGGTTCAAAAGTATTTTCCCTTATTCCCTTAAAAAGCAATGCTTAATTAACACACGAAATGCCTTATGATAAATTTTTTTGTAAATTAACACAAGTTGCTTTACAAAAATTCTATATTTTTTTAATACCAAATAGAAATCATATAGACGGCAGTAGTAGAGTAATAGTATTATCTATGTATGTGTCAGCCTGTGTAAACGTGGACGGGTCCTCAGCCGCACTTTTCGTGGAATTAAAAAAGAAAACCAAAATTTCGCGCAAATGTCGAGAATTCGGTTCAAAAAGTGCCATTTTAGTTGAGTTAGGGATGCAAACAAATCTCTACAAAATTTTTTTTGGGTTAATGTTGACACAAATGTCTAAGATCGACATAACGATAAAACGATTTAATCGACCAGTGCTTGTCTCTAGGGTACATCTATTGGAAAGAGGCGGAAGCAAATTTGTAGACCTAATAATTAATTTTAAAATGAGTATTTACTTTTTGCAAAAATAAAATATTTCCTCTGCAACGGTAATAGAAAGTTGTTTTATGCATTAACTACGGTCATATCATTTTAAAAACTATATATATTAAGAAATTGATGGAGTATCCATGGAAGTACTTGGAATGCTTTAATGGTTAAATATGGTCTTCAAAGAAATCCAAAATGTTTAAAAATCAATATTTTCAAGAATAACTTTTGATATTTGATATTTTGGATATTTGTAAATACTAGTTTCAGGGAATATTTGTTAAAAAAAAAATCATTAATATATGAAAAAATAGCAATTTAATTGTTTAAAGTTTATAAAACTTTATCAACATTTTTTCACTCGCTTAAAAGCGAACCCAGTATAACTGTAATTTCTGCTAACTAAGTATATAAACCTAACCAGCGCTAGAAACTGTGGTTTTTACAAAGCTCGTAGACAAACAAACACTTGTTGCTGTCGAAGCAAACCGTTTTCGTCACGACGCACAAAAAATTTAGGTCAAATCGTTCAATTGACCACAGGTTAGTAAACTCACCCCACCAAAATAACAACCGTTTACCATACTTTTTCTTGGAAAGCAAAAGCTTAGTTGGCTACTAACCAAATGAGAAACAAATATACCGTTACCTAGCAAAACTTTGACAACTAATCAATATAGAACATATCATTTGACATATGTGCATACATATCTTTTTTGGCAAGCTATGCAAACATTGCTATCAACATGTTATGTAATATATTTATAATTATTATGTAGGTATGTACTATATAACAGGTATGTATACACATTTGTATTAATGTATGTATATAAACCCTTATATATATTAATATCCTTTAAGCGCTCAGGCAAAATTAATTTCCTGTTGGATAAAGACCTGAAAGAGCAACAGCCAGCCATGTATATATGTATATACACAGAAACATGTATATGTGACTCGACTCGCACGAAAATATTGTTAAGTAATAAAAAAGTATGCAAAATAGCGAACTCGTAAAATTAGCAAGAATACAAGCAAGTCGACTAGCTGACCCAATTTCGTCTGTGACCCGAGTAATTCAAAACAAATGCATATAACAACAAAAAAGTTGTTGCATTGTATATATGTACATATGTGCATTTTATGTGAATCGATGTACATATGCGTAAGTAAATAAGAGTATTGAGGTACATACGTTATAAATAAGTCGAACAGTGCTGCAAGAGCAACAGTTGCCATTATACAGGGTGATGATATTTTCATATTTTATTATTATATTGAGATATACCTTCTAACATGTAACCGCTCGGTTTAAACAGTTTCAGTTCATCTTTAAACGTGATTTCCTCGCAACAGCAATTTTTGAAATTTTTACAGCTATTTGTAGGATTCGATAACTAACAAATTTTGTCTATATATTTTTATATATTCCGTACAATGACATAACAGATCAGTCGAAGTTTGACAAGCCGAAAATCCGAAAAATTTTGGATCCAATTAAATTTTTTTTAAACGCCGCCATTTTATAAACTTTTATTTTAATTTTTTTTTTACGTTTGACAATATCTTCTAGTAGAAAACGCCGGAATCACCGACCTTTTCTTAGCGCTGTCGGAAATCGCGTGTAACTAGAAAAACATTTAATATTTTCCAATCGCTGTAAAGTGAGTTCTTACATATTTATTAATACACCCTGAGAATTGATGTTGATGTTTTTTTTAATTCTAAAAAAGCGCCATTTTTAGGCTGTTACAATAGGTTCGCCTCTCAGTACGGGAAGATTTTTCTTGATTTCGCAAATCGATCTGAGTTTGTTATATCAAGTACAGTTTCAGCCGATCTCCCAGTTTTAAGGAGTTGAAGCAGTAAGGGTCTATAATAATAACTCTTATAGACCGTTTTTCTTGGGTTTTATAAGTTTTTAAATAGCATTAATGTGACAATAAAACACTATTGCACGATGAAAATGTTTGTTTTCGAAATTAACCAAAAATTTTAGGTTATGTTTCTTGTTTTAGATTTATGTAAAAATGTTTTAAAGAGACGTAAGTTGTTTTTTTCTCAATTAATATTTTTATTATATTCTGATAATTTTAAATTGAAACACAATTCATTTGAGGTTAGGTTTAGAAAT